TAACAAGACGTAAAATAAAATAACAAGACGTAAAATAAAATAACAAGACGTAAAATAAAATAACAAGACGTAAAATAAAATAACAAGACGTAAAATAATATAACAAGACGTAAAATAACAAGACGTAAAATAATATAACACGACAAACTGCAGCATCACATCAACTTAATGTGTCTTCAAGTAAGGAAACATTTAAAAACCATGTGGACATGACTTGAAGCTCCTTTAACCAATGACAGTGTGAGATGTGTCAGGTGATGAAGACGAGTGATGATGATGATGATGATGATGTTTATAAAGTGTCTCTTCAAACATCTTCATCAGTCTGAAGAGGAGTTCAGATTCATGTTTGATGTTTCTGCAGTTGATTTAACTTGACTAAATGAACCGGACTCTTTGGTATTTCCCTCTATGCTGTGACGTCACACGGAACCGGGTCTGGACCTCAGGACGCCGTCTGCACCCTGAACACGCTGCAGACCAACGCCAGCGCCCTGGAGCAGGTGCGGCGGGGGCGGAGCCTCCCCCAGCTGCAGCTGCAGGCCATGAGGGGGTTCCTGGAGCGGGCCGGCCTCACCGTGAGTTCATCCTCTCGGGAACTCGGACCCTGCGGGCCGGACCRGGGTCCTGAGTCTGTTCTGTGTTCTTACAGGTGGAGGAACTGGACCTGCTCAACATCATCCACATCACAGGAACCAAGGGCAAGGTGAGCTTCTGTCTGACYCCACACGCTTACAGCTGACCATGTGTCTGACGCTGGTTCTGGTTCTGGTCCAGGGTTCGACATGTGCCTTCACAGAACAGATCCTGAGGAGTTACGGCTTCAGAACCGGGTTCTACAGGTCAGAACTCGTCCCTCACCAGGAGCTCCTGGTCCTGTCAGCGTCTCAAATCTAACGCAGGTTTCTCTCCCTGCCGGCTCAGTTCTCCTCACCTGGTCCAGGTCCGGGAGAGGATCCGGATCAACGGGCAGCCCATCAGCAAAGACCTGTTCACCAAGTACTTCTGGCAGGTCTACGGTCGGCTGGACGAGACCAAGGAGGCCGCTGGAGGGGCCATGCCTGCGTACTTCAGGTTCCTCACCATCCTGGCCTTCCACATCTTCCTGCAGGAAAAGGTTTGTCCTCGGAGACCTGCGGCGAGGTCCTCGGAGACCTGCGGCGAGGTCCTCGGAGACCTGCGGGAGGTCCTCGGAGACCTGCGGGAGGTCCTCGGAGACCTGCGGCGAGGTCCTCGGAGACCTGCGGCAGGTCCTCGGAGACCTGCGGCAGGTCCTCGGAGACCTGCGGCCCAGCGGGAGGTCTGGTCTGGACTCTAATCAGCTGTTTGTCTCTGATCAGGTGGACGTAGCGGTGATTGAAGTGGGCATCGGTGGAGCGTACGACTGCACCAACATCATCCGGTCAGTCCTCTTCCACTACAGCCACTTGGTGTCGGTCCGGTTCAGTATGGTTCTGTACCATACATGCCAAACTCTTTGGATGTTTACCTGCATAAAAAGCCTCAAAAATCCGTAAATATTGCTAGAAATCCGTACAACTCATACTGCGCGGGGGGCTGGGGGGGTTGGGGTCCGTCAGCTGCACACATGACAGCTCCTGCTGCGAAGCAGGAGGGAGGAGAAAATTCTAAACTTATTTCTAGCAGCAGAACAGGTTGGAAGATGGCTGTGTGATGTTATTTATTGTTTTTTGAATCATCCTACAGGCTCTGACGTTAGTAAAATTTGAAAAAGAGGTTTTGAAAAAATTCGTAAGATTGTCCTATTCGTCCGTATACCTGCAAAATGACGTAAAATCCTTATAACTTACAGACAGTCCGTACAAGCTGACGTGTGTAGTACGGTACGGTTCAGTACTGTTCAAAGCCATTTCCATCAGTCCAGATTCTTGGAACCAGACCTTTTTTTAGTACCTACTTGGTTGTGGGTCCAAGTTGACACCAAAATGTGACGTCAGAACCCTGTTTGTCACTGATTGGCCGGGGGGTGGAGTCACTGGTTGTGTCAGAGCTGCCTTTACAACAACTCAAGTCTGCATTTTTACAGTTGTAGCAGTGACATTAGTCATGTTTACATCCAACTTTAATTTAAATTTTTAGTGAATTTTTAAAATTTTGCAAAAAGGAAAAGAAGCAGAAAAGTGAATCAGACGTGTTTCAGCTGGCTTCATGTGAATGAACCAGGTTACACAAAGTGTCGTTACATCAGAACTTATTCAGCAAATGTGTTTGCATCCCTCATTTTTCATTAACTCTTTTTAAAAAAAACCAAAACCTCCTCCAGCAACCGCCCAAAACACACCTACTGACCCGTACCGACACACCTACTGACCCGTACCAACACACCTACTGACCCGTACCAACACACCTACTGACCCGTACCAACACACCTACTGACCCGTACCAACACACCTACTGACCCGTACCAACACACCTACTGACCCGTACCAACACACCTACTGACCCGTGCCGACGCTGACCCGTGCCGACGCTGACCCGTACCGACGCTGACCTGTACCGACGCTACACTGAGTGGCACTAGTGGGAAAGGGGCATTGGACTCTTTACAGACACCATGTTTAATATCTGAGCTCATAAGATGTGTTTGTTGTGTGTTTGTTTGTTGTGTGTTTGTTGTTGTTGTTGGGCTCAGGAGGCCCTGGGTCTGTGGCGTCTCCTCTCTGGGCATCGATCACACTCAGATCCTCGGAGACACCATAGAGAAGATCGCCTGGCAGAAAGGAGGCATCTTCAAGGTGTGTTTGTTTCTCTAACTCATTAACACACAGACACACACACACACACGCACACAGACACACACACACACACACACGGCTCTAAAGTTCATCTGATTACACACCTTAATCTCTTCTCTTTCAGATCAATAATAAACTCCAGACTGTTGAAATATTTTTGTTTTTCATGAACTTCCTGTTGGTGTGTTTGTGTGTTTGGTTGGTGTGTTTGTGTGTTTGGTTGTTGTTGTTGTTGTTGTTGTTGTTGACACCTCCCTCCTCCCAGCCTGGGGTTCCTGCCTTCACGGTGCGACAGCCAGAAGAGGCCATGTCGGTCCTCAGAGAGCGATCCAGAGAGATCAGAGTGAGTCCAGTCTCGGGGGGGTGGGGTGGTCCCTGACCGGTCTGGACTCTGTGACCGGTCTGGACTCCCTGACCCCCCGCTCCCCCCGTCCTGTCCTTGTTGCAGTGTCCCCTGTGGGTGTGTCCTGAGCTGGACCAGTACCAGACGGACTCTGYACCCTTGAGTCTGGGCCTGGCGGGGCAGCACCAGCGCTCCAACGCCTCCCTGGCCCTGCAGCTGAGCCACACCTGGCTGCAGAGGAGATGTGGACCAGGTGGGACCAGAGACCAACCTCAGTCCGTCTCTGCTGGGTCTAAAGTCTAAATTCAGTTTGTGTGTCTGAACCAGATCAAAGCTCCTCAGTGTCTGAGCTGCAGGACTTCAGAGTCTCTCAGGCAGACTCCTTCAGACCTGGACCCTTCATGCTGAAAGGTGAGTTTGTGAAACTCTGGGTCTGCAGCCCCCCCCCTCTCTGACCCTGCAGGGTCGGTTCAGTACCTGTCTCTCTGGACCTCAGGGCTGGCGGACACGGAGTGGCCCGGCAGGACCCAGACTCTGAGACACGGAGCGGTGACCTACTTCCTGGATGGAGCCCACACCATGAGGAGCATGCAGGCCTGTGTGCAGTGGTTCAGAGAGGCCGTGGCCCCCCAGGAGAGGACCTCCAGGTAGGACCAGCCTGTCCCAGATAAGTTCAGTGAACAGAAACACCACCTGAGTCAACAGGAACAAGGTGACGCCCTGAAGCTGCCAGGAGCCGCCATCTTGGATTTTTGATTTGTGTTCAGAATTTGATGATGGTTGTTGTTGTCAGCTGATATTAAACTAATGTTCAGTTTTATACATCTAAAATTAGCTGATTATTTTATTTKTTATTATTATTATTAAATTTAATTTATTTTAAAGTTAGCATTAGCTGTTAGCTTATAATGAAGATTAAATTTTAAAATGTGATGGGCTCTTTGCACCACCAAAACAAACTTCGGCTCATATTGGAGCCATTTGAAATTGGCTGTGGCGGCCATCTTGAATTTCCAAATCCAGGGTACTTTTCTGCCCCCCCCCCACAAAAAAAAAAACAAACATCAAGCCCCGCCCCCTCAGTGTAAATGGTTCACCTCAGAGCTGAGCTCAGGTGTTTGAACATGTTGGAGCTGACTCAGCAGTTTTAGTTTGAAGTCATGTGACCCGGTGTTTGTGTCGACCCGTAGTGGACCCGTGGCCCGGGTGCTGCTGTTCAACGCCACGGGAGAGAGGGACTCTTCAGCCATGCTCAAACTGCTGCAGGTGAGGGTGGGCTGTGGCCTCGTCACAGGTTCTGTCTGGTTCTGGTTCTGATTGGTTCTGTCTGGTTCTGTTTCTGATTGGTTCTGTCTGGTTTCCTCTCAGCCGTTTCATTTTGACTTCGCTGTCTTCTGTCCCAACATCACTGAAGCCATGGCCTCGTGTAACGCAGGTGAGCCTCACAGCAAACACCTGATGGGTTCTGGTTCTGAGGGCTCACCTGAGGGTTCTGTTCCTTCTCAGACCAGCAGAACTTCAACGTGTCCGTGGAGAACATGCTGACCCGCTGCCTGGACAACGAGAGGAGCTGGCGCCTCCACAACCAGCGAGGAGACGCGGAGGAGGAGGAGGAGGCGCTGCTCATCAGCCTGGCCCCTGAGAGGAGAACCGACACCCTGGTGTTCCCCTGCATCCTCAGCGCCCTGCAGTGGATCACCCAGGACCGGGACCCGGTCCTGACCGGCCCAGATAAGACCGTGCTGCCCGTCAAGCCCAGCTTCGTGGCCAAGGCCGCTCCTCTGTGCGACGCCGCCGAGATCCACGTCCTGGTGACGGGCAGCCTGCACCTGGTGGGAGGAGTCCTGAAACACCTGGACCCAGAGTCTGCCAAGTAACCGGGTCACACGGACCCGTCCAGGTGTCGGGCCGGTCCGAAGCTTCTGATTGGCTGCTGGATTAACGTCAGATCATCAGTGGGTTGAATTAAAACAAGGCCTGATTGGCGCCACGGCTCGGTTCTGCTCAGCCGGACCCTACCTGTGGTGCGTTCAAGTGCTTTTAGAAGGTGGGAAATTCTCTTTGAACTCCTCCTCAGACGTCCCACTTTCACCCAGAGCCTTAAGCCTTAGGTCAAAGGTCACCTGGAGATTTTTACACCTTTTCTACTAAAACCGTTTTTCTTTTTGGTGCCACTGTTCCACATTAAACCTTCTGTAAATATTCAAACACTATGAAGTTCCAGTTTAATTTAAATTTGCCTTAATTTAAAGACCGTTTACGGTAAAAGGTGCTGAACTGAGCTGCTTCATGAACATAAAATGTCTGTAAAAAGTCTGTTCAGAAACGAAGAGTTAAATTATATAAGGAGAATGTCTGATTGTTGTAAACATATTTTTGCAAAACTTTTCTGAACAAATTGTACAAAAAACTGTCTTCAGATTTCAGTAAGCCTCCTTAATATTGTTAAAATGTGATTAAATTTGAAATGTATAATCTGGCTGTTTAAATTATGATGGCTTTGTCTGTGTGTGCACATTAAACTATCAATTTATGAGTAAAAAAAAGTATATTTTTGATTTTTAAGTGATTCTAAACTAAAACTTTAAAAAAAGAAAAAGAACAAAAACCTGATAAATCAGGCTGAAAAAGCAGAAAACTCTTATTTTTGTGTTTACAGTGGAGAACAGGAAGTGATTGACATTTGTTTCATCCAATGGGAGCAGAGGAGGCTGAAGCGTCACTGGTCTTCCAGCCAATAGTATTAGTAGGAGGCGGGGCTTCACGCCCGGCTAACGTAAGCGTTGCTAGTCGGAAGAAGAAGCCGATTCTGGAAGCCATTACGTTGCGCACTGAAGTTGAGTAAATCCTACTATTTTTACGTACAATACGCAGAATCACCTGCGGATTTTTCGGAGGTGTTTTCTGTCGCGATGGCTTCTGCCGCCAAAAAGAGAAAGATGAACTTCTCCGAGCGGGAGGTGGAGATCATCGTGGAGGAGATCGAGAAACAAAAGCACACTCTGGTCAGCCACTTCAACGCGGGAGTCACGCACATGGCCAAGAACAGCGCGTGGCTGGACATCCTGAAGAAGGTGAACGCCGTCACCACCTGTCCGCGCGAGCTGCCCGAGGTCAAGAAGAAGTGGTCCGACATGAAGACCGAGGTCCGCCGGAGGGTGGCCCAGGCCCGGGCCGCCATAGAAGGCACCTCCGCAGACTGCGCCCCGGTTCCGGTCATCCTCACCGCCATGCAGCAGCGGATCTGCAACCTGCTGGGAGAGGCCACCATCATCAGCCTACCTGCCGGGGAGGCGGAGGCGGAGCTTAGCTTACCTGTGACGGTGAGCGCGGCGACCACCGTCACTCTGACTGAAGGTAAACAGGAGAGGAAGGGGTTAACGTGCCCGACCTTTATTCTGAAGGAGCCAAGTTTAACAACACCTTTATTGTGAAGGAACAAAGTT